CCCATTGTTGACAGAATATGAAGGAGTTGAACCATCTACCACCACCACTACCACCACCAAGATGGAACGATTGAAAGGATATACTGTATATGGATTGTAGAGGTGGATATACATCCCTTGGATACAGGAACCAGTACACCAGGCAAGTTAGATGTATTAATTGCTGTAGTTGTGGATACAGTTAAACCTTCAGACACGTGGATTTAACTATTCTAGGACAATTTTTTCAATAGTCTATGGCTTCATCGCCTCAAAAACAAAGACATTATTATCTAAATTAAATAAATATAACGCCGTATTCAATAGACCGGAGACGAAATGGCCGCCCACCGGATATGACGTAGGTGGATAATGAAAATACCTACATTGGCTACAGACTTGAGAATTTCGTTAATTAATGACCAGATAATAATTAGAAACACGATTACCGTAATAGAGACAGAAAAATTCGACACTTTGAACATGTACTAAATTATTATCATTATTATTACCAAACTTACTATAAAAAAAGAATGTGTTTGAGTTATTTTCCCCCTCTTTTCCTCCAGTGCATTTTCTCTCCCCGCTTCCCCTTCTCCCACCTCCCCTTCCCACCCCCACCCCCGTCGCACTATCTCCCCTCAAACGCGCGGTAAAACACCCGGACGCTATATAGAGTTTTTAAAGGAGATTTTAATTGACCGTGATGAAATTCGAGAAGCGATCAAACGTTGCCTTTATCGTTTTTTTTTGTATTCTTTCTTCTTTTTTTTTTCTTTTTTTTTGGTCTAACAGTGAAAACGGTAGCTGGGGGAGGGATGGGATCCGTGAATACCTGAACCAGATGAGTTTTTTTTTCTTTCCCTTATGTTTGTTGAGGCGTGTCAGTTTTATTGTCGCGTCTAGAAGCGAGGAGGAAAGTGCATGAAGGTGACGGCCGAGGAGATGGATGGCTGCTGGTTGGCAATATGGCGCTTGACGTCATAGTTTTAATCGTATTATTGAAACTCAGACGTCACCACCTCCTTCAGCGCGTTACACTAAAAATAAAACGCAGCTGGATCTTAAATTTCGTTCAAGTATGTCGGTGGATTTCAGAGAGCGGAGGGGAAAATGCGTCGCTCGTGTAAATAAAGAGATAAATGGAGTTGCGGTGTGACGTGTACAAGTGTGTGTTGTTGGTGTCGCTGCCGCCAGGGGGGAAGAACATCGGCAACAACTGTATATGTACGACATGTTTACCCTCCGTTACCCCGCTGCCACGATGCACGACCAAACAAGGAGACTGTATTATTTATTTTCTTTTTCAATATTCTGTTTTTATTATTTTTTAATTTTTGTTTCTCGTCCTCAGAATATTTATCTTTCACTATAAACAAAAAAAAAAATCCGTATTCATCTATATTGACTTAATTAAAATATTAGAATATATATATAAAAATTTTTAGACACGGATCACAATATTGATATCAAGAATTTACATCAAATATTTACACCTTAATTGCGTAACTGTGTCCTAACAGGTGATAGTTTACATGCACTCAGTCAGTCAGTCAATCAGTTGGTTAATCAGTCAGTCAGTCAGTCAATCAATTTTTTTATATAATATTTCACTCACATAAACTGATTCTCCCCCAGATATCCCTTAACGACTGAGTCTCTCTGCACTGACATCCATAAACATAACTACCAGTTTAGGACAGGCTACAACACACTTTAATACCCCCAAAGCCCTCGGGGTACATCAGGAAACAATGAGTCCAGCATTGAATATAACTGACTGCATACCATCACTTTCTCAATCATAAAGTTAGGTACCCGTTTACAATTGGATCGACTGGAGGTTCCTCGGTCAAGAACTACAGCACCATTGTAAACACCAGATACATTAATAACAAGTAGGTGGTGGTGGTGGTGGTCGTCATTATCTGGTATAGTAAAGCTCTAAAACATAACATTTGTCGTCGTGGTCGTTGTCACTGCATCATCGTCGTCACTGTCATCATCGTCGTCACTGTCATCATCGTCTTAACAATATACCTCGCTCGTCGCCACAATCATCTCGGGCTATACAAAAGTCTTCCCCCCCTTTTACCCCGAACTGCATCTATATCGTAATGGCGCTGCACCACAGAGTTAATATTTACCAAGACGTCGACAACGCCATTACAGAGAAAGACTTGGAGAATCTATCACGGCCCCCAAAAAAATAAACAAAAATGTAAAAAAGGAAAGTAAAATAAAAGAAGAACAAGATGGAAGACTCCGCATGAGTTGAGGAATTTCATATTATATTTCAAATGGCTTCCATCTCTCTGCCCCTCCTCCCCACCCTCCTTCCACCGACCCCCACCTCTCTTCCATCCCCCCACCCCGCAAGAAATCAGCTCACGGGACCAAGATAGAGCTGGGCCACACGGGATTCACAACGTCGAAAATCCTATATGCTATAATACGTCCTGCGTCGACCATATGAGAGGGCCAGACGGTGTGTCCCTCTCGCCTGGTCGGGCTCTGAAATCTCATCAGAAGCGCAGGGCGGAGTTTGGACAGCTATGTTTATACTCAAATAACCCGAGCCTCCGGTGTTTAATCTGTGGAGCGCACCTAAACCAGGAGGGAGTGAAGGAGGGAAGGGGCGGTGCTCCCTCCCTCCCTCCCTTCCTCCTTCCGTTCGTCCCAGCATCTCCTTCCCTTCCCTTCGTTTCTTCCCCCTGTCTGTCTGTATGTCTGTTCCTTGACCTTATTTCATCCATCTGTTCATCCATTCACCAACATCCTTCCTTCCTTCCTTCCTTCCTTCCTTCCATATAAATAAAAAATCCTTTCTTCCTAACGTAAAGGGAAAGAAAGAGAGAGAGAGAGGGAGGAAGGGTGATGCAACTCTCTCTCTCTCTCTCTCTCTCTCTCTCTCTCTCTCTCTCTCCCCTCTTCCTTCCCCTCCTCCATCCCATCTGCATCCACACCAAAGGAAGAGGAGGAAAACTTTAAGGGGGGGTGGAGAGGAGAGGGACCCTCCATCCATCTATCCACGAGGGTAAAAAAATCTCTTCGCCTCTACTCCAGCTAAGAGGCAAAAATGTGTCCAGGGGCGAAATATGTTATTGAGAGTTGATGGTGGTGGTGGTGGTGGTGGTAATGGCGATCGTGGTTAATTAGTAATGGCGATCGTGGTAATTAATTAGTGGTGGTAATGGCGATCGTGGTGAGGTGGTGGTAATAGCGATCTCGTCGGTGGTGTGGTGGTGGTGTGTGGCGATCGTGGTGGTGGTGGTGATAATGGCGATCTGTGGTGGTGGTGGTGATAATATGGCGATCATGGTGGTGGTGGTGTGGCGATCGTGGTGGTGGTGGTGAGTGGTGGTGGTAATGGCGATCATGGTGGTGGTGGTGGTAATGGCGATCATGGTAGTGGTGGTGGTGGTATTGGCGATCATGGTAGTGTGTTGGTGGTGGTAATGGCGATCGTGTGGTAGTGGTGGTGGTGGTAATGGCGATCTCATGGTAGTGGTGGTGGTGGTAATGGCGATCATGGTAGTAGTGGTGGTGGTGAATGTAGTAGTAGTGGTGGTAGAGTATAGGTAAAAGTGATGGTATGGATGAAAAAGGAAGGTGAAGGGTGAAAATAATGAAAGAAGGTGTAAGATAAAGGATGAATAATAAGGTAATGAAGGTGAATGATAATAATAATAATAATAATAATAATAATAATAATAATCGCAATAAAATACTACTACTACTACTACTACTACTACTACTACTACTACACTGCTACCACTACTACTACTAACAATAATAATAATTTACGGTGTACGACAGAGTGTTATGTATATGTATTACTGAATAACAACAGTACAGTGCAGAAATCATTACAATACACAAAAATAAGTCAAAACCAATGTATGTATGTATGCATTAACCCCCATACCCTAAAATTAACCCCTATACCCTAAAATTAACCCCTATACCCTAAAATTAACCCCCACAAGCTCTTAACATGCAAGCACCCAAATTGAACTTTAAAAGTAACAAATATTGCTGATCTTCTAACACCATAGGACTAATCCAAGTAATTTCATTTTGTTTCGTTTCTTTTCTCTACAGATTGTTCGGCATAAGTGTGATAAGTGCGGGAGAATGTTCGAAAAAACCGACCTAGTATTACTGACGCAAAATATACATAGACTATTTCAGGTAGAGATAACCCTTCCATTTGAGAAGTTATACATTTCATTAATTTCTTCTTATTTTCTTGTAAACATTGTATAAAATCAACACCGCTCCAACTTTCATTTTGTCTAGATGTTCAGCGTGTGGGAAACAGCTGTTACCTGGAGACGAGTTCGCGCTACGGGAAGACGGTCTGTACTGCCGCCATGACTTTGACACCTTCGAGAAGAAAGCCAACGCAGAGAACAACAACACCACTAACATCAACAACAACGAACTTAAGGGTGCGTGGAAAGGTGCGTGGGGGTGTTGGGTGGGAGGAGGAAAGGTGTGTGGGGATGTTGGGGTGGGAGGAGGGAAGGTGCGTGGGGGATGTTGGGGTGGGAGGAGGAAAGGTGTGTGGGGATGTTGGGGTGGGAGGAGGGAAGGTGCGTGGGGGTGTTGGGGTGGGTGGAGGGATAGTTTACTTCTTGGAGTTACTTAAGGAGGTCATTTTCCCGCCCCCAACAGGTGAGGGTAAACCACTACGGAAGGAACGACGTGAAGGGAAGACGACGAGAGTCCGAACTGTTCTGAACGAGAAGCAGCTACACACACTCAGGTGAGAGACACGCACACACACACACACACACACTGAAACACACACACACAGAGGTGGAGACACACACACACACACACACACACACACAGGTATTTTACACACACACACACACACACACACACACACACACACAGGGGTGAAACACACACACACACACACACACACAGAGGTGAGACACACACACACACACACACACACACACACACACACACACACACACACACAAAACTCATTAACTCTACTCACTCACTCCATATATACACACACACACACACACACACACACACACACACACACACACACACACACACACACACACACACACACACACACACACACACACACACACACTTATCCAGACACATCTGTGTTTATAAGTCGGCAGGACTCTTGACATCGTCCTAACTATCCTTCAGTGTTCCCTGAATCCACTAAGGAAGTCTCTGGTGTCCTGTGACTATCCTCCCCCTGTAGGACCTCCCATGTGACCTTACAACCTCCTAAAGAACAAGACCCCAAAGTGACCTTTCACCTAAGATGTCCTGTGACCTCCCCCGTAGGATGTCTCTAACTTTCTTCCATCTTACATGTAGGACCTCTGTGACTTTCTTCAGAGGACCCCTTCTGATCGTCCTCCTCCATCCTGCAGGACTTGCTACGCCGCCAACTGCCGGCCGGACGCTCTGATGAAGGAACAGTTAGTGGAGATGACGGGACTGTCGCCCAGGGTGATCCGGGTGTGGTTCCAGAACAAGAGGTGTAAGGACAAGAAGCGGTCCATCCTGATGAAACAGATGCAGCACGAAAAGGTATGGGAGGTGAGCCGATGTCTGGGTTTATTTCTAGCTATTAAGGCCCTAATATAAGAACGCCACACAAGGCAGAAGACGGGCGAACGTACGTCTGGCTTAATACAAGATGCCTCAAGATGTGTAGTGGGATGAACACGTGTCTGGTGCAGTCTCAGTAATAAAGGCTCTGGTTTATGAGTTCCTGACATAATAAGAACATCTTGGAGGGCAGAAAGGGGACAAACGTTCGTCAGTCTTAATACTTTTAGCATAAAGCATGCCAGTGCTGGCAGAAGGAGGGCGGACCTTCGTCTGTCGTACCTTCCATCAGAGTGGAGGGGAACGCTCAGGCATTGTTGATTGTCTGTGCTTTTTATGGCGCGGACTTAATGTTCGCGCCATAAAAGAGCACCATTGCATGGATAAGACTGGGGGCGAATGTTCGTCTGGCGTAACATTCCATAAGCGTGTCATTGGTGTGTGGGTGGAGATGGACGCCAGGCGCTGCCGAGGGGCTGGTGGGGTAAGGGGGGGGAGGCAGGATAAGGGACTGACAGGGAGAGGCGGGAGAATTCGGTGTTCGCTGAGTAAATGTAAACACATACGCCACGTGGGTGACTAACGGAGGGGAGGAGTAGGAGGGGGTGTCCTAGTACGGGTTGAGCTGACGGAGGGAAGGAGAAGGTTTCCTGGAGGAGGGGATGACTGAGGATAAGGCGGTGGAGGAAGGAGGGAGGGAAGGGTGTAGGGAAGAAGGGGATTTCCTGGGGTACACGGGGAGGGAGGGATTGTCTCCTTCACCCACTATTTACTTTGGCAGTAAACACACACACAGAGAGAGAGAGAGAGAGAGAGAGAGAGAGAGAGAGCTAATACCCATTGCTACTGTAGAACTACCACTCCACTCACCGCCCCTTCAACTACTTCACCACCAACCCATCAGTACGACCACATACACCCACCTGCCTACCCACCCAACTGCCCCTTCAACACCCGCACATACCCGCTAAAGTAAGCAAGAATCACTGCCCCTGAACCACCACCACCACCTACCACCTCCTCCTCCTACACCTTCTGCTATTTCCACACACACACACACACACACACACACACACACACACACACCCAGACACACACACATACACACACAGACTAGAAGAATTTCGCACCGTCCCACCACTGGATGATGTTAATTGTCCCCAGAATATCAGATAACCTTTACGTTTTCACACGTGCCAGGCCACACTTTTTGAAATTAACATCAATGGGGTGCCGTCCGGGGCTGTGTTTGACCAAACAATTCAACTCTAAAGACCCAAATTGTGGATACAGTATCAATATTTGGGAGAATCTGCCCAGCAGGCGCATTTTGATCAGATAACTAGCAAGAGGTGAACTTTTTTTTTTTTTGGATGGGGGAGGAGGAGGGTGGAGTGGGGTGGAGTGAGGAATGATGGTTGAGTGTAGTTTGGTTGCTGGCGGTATAATCAGACCCACACACACACACGCACACACATATATATATATACACAAACAGACAGGGAGGGTATAGGGTAGGGGGGGAGGGTAGGAGAGGGAGGGGTAAGAAGGTTGGGGGGAGGGGGAGGGAGGTAAGGAGGGGGAGGGAGGTAAGGAGGGGGTTGGATTTTGCTAACTTGTGTGGTCAGTGGTGGTAAGAGGTAATGGACTTGTTCTGTGCTCACGACACAACACGGCACAACCAGGCGACGACAAGAGGTACAGTTAATGATCTTGTTCTGTGCTTACGACACGACACAGTGAATTTATACAACTAAGTGGTGATAAAAGGATCATGAATTGGTCATATTATTATTATTATTATTATTATTATTATTATTATTATTATTATTATCATTATTGTTGTTGTTGTAATAGATTTTAAGACCACTAATAATTATCGCCATTGTAATTGTGGTTCTTCTTATTACTACAAGAGAGAGAGAGAGAGAGAGAGAGAGAGAGAGAGAGAGAGAATGTTGACACTAGCAGAGCGGCATGAAAGACAAACATTAGTCTCTGTATTGAGTTTCCTTCTCTCTCTCTCTCTCTCTCTCTCTCTCTCTCTCTCTCTCTCTCTCTCTCTCTCTCTCTCTAACACATCCTAATTATACCAGCCTATTAAAATTACCCTCATAATGTCTGTTACATTCTTATATCTAACCTATTTTGTTAACCTGTCATGGTACAATATGAATCAATTAGAACTAACCTATTATGCTCTCCAATTCAACCTATAACACTAACCTATTATACTGTCCTATTTAACCTATTACACTTACCTATTATAATACTTCTGTTAAGCTATCAGACTCTCATTATAGGACCTCATTTAAGATTAGATTTTCCTATTAGTCTCCCCATTAGACTATTAAATTGGGTTAATGGGTAATTTTATAATGGTGTGGAGGGAAGTGTTGATATGGAGGGTCGTGTGGAGGGTTGTGGAGGGAAGTGTTGACACAATTGATCCTAGAGAGATGGAGGGAAGGAGGGAGGGAGGGAGGGAGAGTAGGTGTAGTACACTCGGGCGTGGGAACACACACACACACACACACACGCCCCCTACACTTACCCATTTGTGTACACATGCGCATCCCCGTGTACACACATCTGCACACGCATACACCCGGCTACCCCCAACCCTCCCCTCCCCATCGCCTCCTCCAACCACCCCCTTTTTCTATCCCACCCACTACCTCCCCCTACCCCTTAAACTACCCCACTTTTTACCCCACCTTCCCCCTCCTCGACCCATCTCCTCCCCTAACTCGACTCTCTCCCCTCTCCTCCCCTTACTCGACTCTCTCCCCTCTCCTCCCCTAGACGACGCACGTAACGAATTAACGTATACAATGCGTTAATAGAGATCGCCACATGCGTTTTACACACTGTCCTGTGATTACGTCTCTCTCTCTCTCTCTCTCTCTCTCTCTCTCTCTCTCTCTCTCAGTGGACAAGGATCACGTGAAGATTAAACACACTAACGTTACTTGGGGGATTAAGTTAACCCCTTCACTATAGGGACGCCACTTTTAATATTTTATTAGGCTGACGTCAGATGATTTCATTCCGCTTAGAGGGGAGACCGTACACAAGGGGTGGGGTTAGGTTAGGTTAGGTTAGCATGAGGATGTTGGGGTTAGGTTAGGTTAGCATGAGGATGTTGGGGTTAGGTTAGGTTAGCATGAGGATGTTGGGGTTAATCTTCTGGTGAAATAAACTGGTGGGGTTATTCTTAAGGTGATCTGTGGACTAAACTACCACTGGTAAACACTGTGGACGTGATCATTGTCTCTTGGCGTTTAAGTCTCATACAAACTAACATCCTTTAGTAATGATTGGTCAAATGAGCCTCCGTCCTAATAGACCCCAACGTAAACTGACCTAATCTATTGGGCCCCAGTTCTAATAGACCCCAACCTAAACTGACCTGACCTAATCTAACAGATCCCACCCTAAACTGACCTAATCTATTGGGCCCCAGTTATAAGAGACCCCAACCTAAACTGACTTGACCTGACCTAACCTAACTTAATGAGCCCAAAGAGCTAATAGCCCCCAGCCTAACCTAACCATGTGACCCAATTCTAATGGGCCTCAGTCTGAACAGGTAACGTTAAGGTAGTTGAAGGTTGTCAGGACTGGGGAACATTCCACCTACAGCCTTAATCTGATCGAACTTGAGGCTTTAAAAGAGTTCCTTTATTTTCCTCCCAAAGGAGAAACAGTTGGCGTTGCAGGGGATCACGGGCGTACCTATGGTGGCGTCGTCTCCCATCCGACACGACGGGGCGCCCATGGGTGTGGGTATGGGCGGCCCTGTGGACGTCACCGCCTATCAGCCACCCTGGAAGTCCCTGACGGAGTTCGCCCTCACCCACGATCTCGATCGACTTGATCCCTCCACGCCGCAGTACCAGCAACTAGTCCAACAGGTAGGTGTTGTACCACGCCCAGGCATGTATAGTATGTCCTACCTACATGCCTACACACGCCCCTCTTGTTTCACACAGCTCTAGAAATTTTCGATCCTTCCGATATCTTAGTCCAGCAGCTGATCTGACAGGTAGGTGTGTCCTATACCGCCCATGAACAGAGTCTTACACGCCCACGCCCTATATATCATCGCCACACTCACATCTCCATATCATCCACGCCTTCTTAAGACCGTCTCGACCTCTCCACGCCTAGAGTATCGGGAGCTCGTCCTGGAGGTAGGTGTACTGCCACGCCCGCACGCCTACACACACGCCCATGTCTGATTTATATTCTTACACCCGCACGCCCATGTCTTGAATGCCACTGACCCTAGACATAAGTGTGGGTGCTCATGTTTATCGTATGACTGAATGACGAAGCAAAAACAATACTCTGATTATTTTTTTTAATTTCTTCTTTGTTTTCTTAATTTCACCTTTAGTTCAAATATGTCTTACCTAAAAAAAAATACTTTATCTCTGTACCAATAAGTAATGGCTTTAACACCACAATGGTTTTAACACCACAATGGCTTTAACACCACAATGGCTTTAACACCACAATGGCTTTAACACCACAATGGCTTTAACACCACAATGGCTTTAATACTTACAAAATCACTTAATAAAAAAAATCTAAGTACTTAATGGAACCTGACAAAAGTTATTTCCCGCGCAACGTTCTGCACATCTTCGAGTCCCGGATGAAAACAATAACAAGAGATTATTTTCATGTTTATTCTATTATTGATGTATTAATGAGGAGTGAGAGATGAGAGACATATGAAGTGATAGATTTATAGATTATCGAAGTTAATAGGCAGAAAAGACGATGAGATAAAATAAGAAATTTTACATATATACAAAAAAAAAACCACCCAATTATTTATGACAAAAACAAAAAACAAAAACACAACGAGATGTATAGATTACCACCTCAGCTGCCAGATAAAATGTAAAGAAAAAACCCCCCAGACATATAAACAAACTGACGCAACAGAAAAGAGAGAGATAGATAGATAGATAAACAGGTGAGCATCTGGCATCCTCCCCCTCCCTCTGCCCCGCCCCCCTCCTAACCAGCCAGGCCACCACGGTTGACTTACCTGGGTGACGGCCCACGCTGCGACACCTCATGTAAACTGACCTACCCAACTTGGTGGATAGATTAGTTCTCTTGCCAGGCCCATCCCCTCCCGCCTCCCTCTCCCTTCCCCCTCCCCCTTCCCCCTCCCCCCCCTTGTGTGTTGAGGGTATCGTGCGCGCTCACCGTTTGTACGACGTCTGTTATAGGATGTGTGTGATCCATGGCTGATTGGGTTTGACTGGATTTTAAAGGATAGGAGGATAGGGGTGGTGGTGGGTGAGTGGGTGGGTGGGTGGGTGGTGGGTGGGTGGGTGATTTAGTGAACTGGATGATTGAGGGTTTATTTAGGTGATTAGACAGTAAACCAGTTTGTTTTAAGAAGATTGGGAGGCGAAAAATTAGGGGGTTGAGAGTTGAATGATTGATTTGAAATGGTTTGAGGAGAGAAAGGAGGAGAAGGAGAGAATGAGGAAGGAGGAAGGGAGAGGAGAATGAGGGAAGGAGGAAGGGAGAGAATGAGGGAAGGAGGAGGGAGAGGAATGAGGGAAGGAGGAAGGGAGAAGGAGGGGAAGGAGGAAGGGAGATGTAGGGGCAAGGTAGTCAGGGAGGGAGGGGAGAAGGAGGGAGGGAGCATGTGTAGGTTGCGGAGTAGAGGGGAGGAGAGAAAGAGAGGAATGAGGGGACTTGAGGGGAAAAACGGAGGGGGAAAGAAGAGAGGGGGAAAAACAGAAAGAAGGAAGGGGTAGGAGGGAGGAAGGAAGTGTAGGTTGAGGAGAGAGGGAGAGCAGGGGGGGGGAGTGGGATGGAGAGAGGAGGCAGGGGAGGGGGAGGGAGCAATGGGGAAGAAAGGAACTGGAGGGAAGGAGGGAGGAGGGAGTGGGGGCAAGATAGAAGTGAAAGCAAAAGGAAGGAAGGAGGGAGGAGTGAGGGGCAGGAAGGGAGGGAGGGGAGTGAGGGCAGAAAGGAGGGAGGGAGGGATAGGCACAGGCTTTAGCAGGAACAAAAAATTAATAGGGTCGGACATGCAGTTCCTCTGATGGTTATCTACTCTCGTGTTTTCCTCCACTTCACGTCACACACTGGGGGCGGCGGCGGCCCTCTCATGTCCACACCCTACGCCCGCGCCCACACCCTATGCCCGCGCCCACACCCTAAGCCCGCGCTCACACCCTAAGCCCGCGCTCACACTCCCATGCCACCCTACACCGGCGCCCACCCTACACCCCTTACATCCTATGTCAACCCTACACCCCGCCCCACACATCCTACGTCTACCCCTACACCCACGCCCACACATCTCGTCTACCCCTACACCCCACGCCCACCCCCCGCCAATCTCTACCCCGCCCACATCCCTACGTCTACCCCTACACCCATAATCTCACCCACGCCCACACCCACGTCCTTCACCCCGCCCACACATCCCTGTCCCCGCCCCATAATCTCTACACCCCACGCCCACCCACGCCAACCCCTAAGACCACGCCCACATCCCACACGCACTTCGATAATGATTCTTGAAATATTTTGGCGAGGTGATTCTTGAAAAATTTGGGCTCGTCAATTAAAATATTTGGCGATATGATCTACAGTGAGTTTGGCGAAGAAAGAAAGGAGAAAGTTGATAGAGTGATAAAGATAGGGAGAAAGTGAGGACAGGTGAGAAGAGAAAGAGAAGAGGGGGAGAGAGAAAGAGGAGACGATAAAGAAGTAAAATAATAGAAGAGAAAAATCGAGAGAAGTGAGGAAGGAGAGAGGGAAGGAGACAGGTGAAGAAGGAGAGTGAGAAAGAGAGACAAGGGAGTGAGAGAGAGAGAGAGAGGTGAGGTGAGGGAGACAGTAGGTATCTCTTGAGCAATCAGCAGGTAAGATAGTGATCAGGGGCTTCACCTCAGCCAGCCAGGTGCACCCTGCTAATTTGAGGGTCCTCGTGAGATTTAATAAACTACTGTGAGAGGCACGACGGTATATACCTTAACACCATAATGGATACTACTACTACTACTGTCACTACTACTACTACTACTACTACTACAAATACAGTCGCCGCCACTACACCCCGAGCCATTAATCCTATGCTCCTCAACCTGTAGTGTCATTATATTGGTTCATCGCCACGGAGGCACGCACGCCATTACACAGGGCTCCGAGTCACAAACTATAGTACGTTAATAATTTCCCTTAAACATAGATAAGATAATTTGTTTAATTGACTCCCTTACGTTACGATATTAAGATGAATTCACAAATGTTCGTAAGTTAAATTTTCCTCCTAACTTATGATTTAAGAACAAATTTATCTGACTCACTTATGCTATCGTAAAATAAAAATCGCAGGTTCTAAAGATGGATTCCAAATTGCAACGAGACTCTACTGTAATAATGCATTTAGTTAGGGGTGGGTGGGTCTAATGAAAAAGTGAGAATTTTGGGTTTAGTTCTGACGGTGACATGAGTCTGGAGAACGTTCGCCAGGCGTCCGTCGACAACCTTTGAGCTAATCATGAAAAATCTGTCCACAAACAATAAATTTAGAAATAAACTGACCACTGTGTGTGTGTGTGTATACGCGACGTTAACAGTACATCTGACAGTGTTGTGTGGACGATGTGTTTATGTATGTAACGTTGTGTGTGTACATGGCAGGATATGCACGCGTGGGGTATACACTAAATGTGTGTATGTACGCCTGTGTGTGTGTCCTAGCGGTTTGTTTTTGTTGTGGTTGTAAGTACTAGTGTTGTTGTTGTTTATCGTGGCGGTGGTGACAGTGGGTATGTAGGTAGGGGCTAGGTAGGAGTGAGTAGGCGAGGGGGAGGGAGGGTGGACGGGTAGGTAGAGACAGTTTGTTTACATAAGCTGCTCAGCTGTTCTCGCTCTCGCCTCTTCGCCCGCGCTGCCACCATAACAAAGATCTCCACTCCTCAGGAATCCTCCAAGATGTGTAACTCAATTTTTTCTCCTTCGTAATTGAGGGATTGGAGTAGGAGTGTGTCTAAACGAGTAGGAGTGTGTCTAAGCGAGTAGGGGTGTGTCTAAACGAGTAGGGGTGTGTCTAAACGAGTAGGAGTGTGTCTAAGCGAGTATGAGTGTGTCTAAACGAGTAGGAGTGTGTCTAAACGAGTAGGAGTGTGTCTAAACGAGTAGGAGTGTGTCTAAAGAGGTTTTAACGAGGAGTGTGTATAAAGATGTCTAAACGAGTAGGAGTGTGTCTAAACGAGTAGGAATGTGTCAAAAGCGAGTACGGGTGTGTCTAAAGAGGTTTAACGTGTAGGGAGTGTCTAAAGATGTCTAAACGAGTAGGAGTGTGTCTAAAGATGTCTAAACGAGTAGGAGTGTCTAAAGATGTCTAAAATGAGTAGAGTGTGTCTAAAGGTGTCTAAACGAGAGGAGTGTGTCAAAGGTGTCTAAACGACGTGTGTCTGAACGAAAAGGCGTGTTCAAACAAGTAGGAGTGTGTCTAAAGGTGTCTAAACGAGTAGGAGGTCTAAAGATGTCTAAACGAGTAGGAGTGTATCTAAAGGTGTCTAAACGAGTAGGAGTGTGTCTAAAGATGTCTAAACGAGTAAGGAGTGTATCTAAAGGTGTCTAAACAAGTAAGGCGTGTGTCTAAAGATGCTCAAACGAGTAGGGTGTGTCTAAAGATGTCTAAACGAGTAAGGAGTGTGTGTCTAAAGGTGTCTAAACGAGTAAGGCGGTGTCTAAAAGGTGTCGAAAAGAGAAATAAAAGTCCATGATCCAAGGGAGAAATTGATGATACCCTGCGGTATTATCCCCTCATGCTACCCCCTACCCCCCAACCAACAACAAGGTAGAGTCTTCAGAGCAATAACGCTGACATTTGACGCTTTGTTTATATCGAAGATGAGGAAAACGATGATGCGTGTTATTCATCTATCTATCTATCTATTTTGTCTATTTATTAATTTGGGGAGGGTGGGGTGGGGGATATCTATGACCCAATGAGAATCCTGACTAAATACCAATAAAGTACCTGAAGTTAAATATTTTTTTTCTTCTCGTAAATGAGGATAAAGGAACACGTCTTAATGGCTTACTTTAAGATATAGCTAGGGGGGGGGAAGGGAGGGGGGTAAAAATGGCGTCAAAATTACCCCGAGACTCTACCCAAACCATAAGCCGTGTTTTCTCATCGCCTCCGGTAACTTAAGGGGGAAATTGATCGATTAATCTTACGATGTTTGGATCATGTGTGTGTGTGTAGAATCTTCCCTCCCTTATATATCCCTTAGTTCCCTTAGATGTGTCCCTTTTTTCCTTTAAATTACCCCTAGATAGGTCCTTTTCTCCCTTAGTTACCCCTTAGCTCCTTTAGATATGTCCCCTTTTCCCCTTACACCCCTATAGACACACCCATTCTACCTTAATATACGCCCTTTTATCCTAAGACACACCCCCTTCACCCTTAGACACACCCCTTTTACCATTAGACACACCCCTTTAACCCTTAGACACACCCCTTTAACCCTTAGATACGCCCCTTTCACCCTTGGATACCCCCTGACTCACCCAAGAAGATAATATCAGAGAGAAAGTGGAAGAGAAGAGAAGAAAGAAAGGAGGAGGAGGAGAGAGAGGAGGTGGGAGGGAGCTAGAGAGAGGAGAAGGGAGAAGGGAAGGAAGAAGAAGAGAGAAGAAGAATGAAGAAGAGAAAGGGGAGGGAGTGGGGAGGGAAGAAGGAAAGGGGGAGGGAGGGGGGAAATGAAGGGAAGGAAGAAGAGAAAAGGGAGGGAAGAAGGAAAAGGGGAGGGAGAGGTGAAGAAGTGAGAAGGGAGGGAGAGGGGAGGCAGGGCCTGGAATGTACCCAGATCAGTATCAAGAGAAAATCCTACTCACACTTGACCAATCATACTCCGGCCCTCCTGCCTCAACCTACCTGGAGGAGAAGGAGAAGAAGAAGAAGAAGAAGAAGAAGAAAGGGAAAATAGAAGGATGAAACAAGGAAGAAGAACAAGAGGAGAAACCAGGAGAGGAAGATAAAGAAATATACACAGGATTGACGTGTGTAAACAGTAAGCAAGTCAAGATGGCTGTAGATCACCATAACATCTTTAACACGAACTAATAATGAAAATAATAGTGGTCATTATCTCATATGAACGCCAGTGTTGAGAGAAATAAGGCGAACGTTCGTCTGGCGTTAAGACTTGGAGTAAGACCGCTATGTTAGGAAGAAAAAACCGAGCGAATGTATAAGCTTGGTGTTAAACGTGGCCACTGCTATTTTATAGAAGAAGAGAGGCGAATATTTTATCTGGCGTTACTAAGTGCTCGTGCTGGTGTTGATGTAAAAGGTACTGGTATACGACAACGCCGCCGCTCGATATAGTTCTCATACGTCGCCACGGTTCAAAATATTCCTCCAAGATGTTGCTAAGAAAACACATCTTTATGGTAGAGTCTCAGTGAAAATTCGACACCATTTCAACAACCGAGTTAGATACATCCTGTGGTCCCCAGTTAAAGAAATATCCACTTAGGAACTTTTGTGAATCCTGGACTAAGATCCTCACAAGTTCGTCAGGTTAATTATCTCTGTAAGTGAAGGCGAGTCAGCACATCCACCTGGCCCACGGTGGCGTCAATATTGCGCAAAGACTCTACCTTAACTAATTGTGTCCTCTTGCCATTACCCGAGGATCAAGAACCACTGAAAATCCATCTTTGTCTCTTAAGCGAATCAGTTAAATGCGTTATGTAAGGGCAAAAAATACCTTACTTTACTCTGAGAATCCAACTTTATATAGCAACTTAAAGGGAATTAGACGCGTTTAAGAGGTGGTTGTGAGGCTGGGTGGTGCGGGGTGACCCTGGCCTGGCCGTCTTAAGACTGATTGACAGGTCGACCCAACCCCGCCACCTTGGTTTGTCTTAACAGCTCCGCCGCCACAAGGTCAATGTTTGAACTCCTGTTGTGTTTTTTCCCTCCTTCGAGAACCAAGCAAACAGAAGCGGTGCAAACAGACGGAAACGGAACAAACAGAAAGTGTGGGGAGGTAGAAAACAACGGAGTAATAGAAGGAGAAGATGGAGAAGGATGAGGAGGAGGAGGGAGGAAAAGTTATAAAGGAGATGGCTTGATCTTCCTTTGTTTTTGCAGCGGTGTTGTGGGACGGGATGGGAGGATTCCAACCCGACAAGCGCAACAGGTCTCGTCATCTGATCTTCCGCCTTTATCCCCGAACAGAATCTCCCCTACCTCTCCTCTTGCGCTTCACCAGATTCTCTTCCCTTATAGGTCAGTTTCTCTCGAGCCCTTTGTTGATGTTTTGTTTACTTCGTCCGTAATGGCGGCAGAGGAGACGAGCGTAAACATATAATTCATTTTGAGCTCCGGTCGTCGGTAATTTTTGGCGGGGGAAAAAAAAAGAGACGGGACGTATCGTTTATATTAATTTAATTTTTATCTTATCGGCAATTACGGATATGTGCATTATTCTATCTCTTTATATATTTTAATGGAGGGGGGGAAACGAACGTATATATATCTATTTATTTTACGCCATTGCTTTCGTTGTTGATAAAGACAAAACGAACGTAAGTCTAATATTAAAACCTTACTTTATTATGAAAAACGCGTGGAAATATATGAACGATTTTATTGTTATTTTATTCGTCAGCGATAATGATGATGATGGGAGACGAGCGTATTATTTATTGAGTGATTATACCGTAAAGGCGGGAAAGCAATCATTGACAATAACAATAATCGCGATAATCAATGAATTATTACGATTATATGAAAACAAATAATAACTTTGTCTTGATAACATTGACCTAAGGGAAAGATTAGAGTAATATCTGAGACGTGAATGTCTTGATATTTATTAAGGAAAAGATTAGAACAATAATTGAAATGGATCTAGACAGCGTAATTACAGCCCCCTTCACCCCCCCCCCCCGACACCCACACCCACCCCCCCACACCCACACCCACGTTACCTTTATTATCTTAAGACGATTACCTTCAGGAATTAACTTACAGGAGTTATTAATATTCTTATTATCAGTTGACAACCGCCTTGACAAGAGGAGGAGGATGGGGAAGGAGGAGAAGAGGAAGAGAATGAGGAAGAAAAAAAGAGGAGGAAGGAGTAAGAGGAGGAGGAGGAAGAAGAGGAGGCGAATAAGACTAACGAATATGGAAAAAAGCGAAAAGATGGAGAGAAAGTTGAAAGGGGTGAAAGGGGGAAATGGAGTAGAGAGAGAGAGAGAGAGAGAGAGAGAGAGAGAGAGAGAGAGAGAGAGAGAGAGAGAGTGGCTGCTGCTGGATCAGAGACACGCGTGACAATGAGGACGCCCCGTGGATTATAATCGCCGCTCTATTTATTACCCAGGGCGCCGGGATTACTGGGATTTATTGGGGGGTGTTGTGGGATTACTCCGGGGTGTGGCGCGGCGCTCAGATTATCCGGGGGGTATTACCGTGTGATGGAGTGGGACACGCCCCCTGACATACATACCCTCCCTCTCCTCCCTGACACCCCCCTGATACACTGTTCTTCCCCCTTCCTTACCCTCTTGATGTTAACCTTTTCCTTACCTTTACACACACACACACACACACACACACACACACACACACACACACACACACACACACACACACCCTCTCCCTACATCCCTCAACCTCCTGCCTCCTCCCACTCACACACCCTCCCTCCCACCCTCCCTTAGCACGTACCTAACCCATTACCCTCTCACCCCTACCACCCATTATTCTTCCCTTCTTATCGTTCCTCCCTTTATACCCACTTACCCACACTCCCATTTCCACATCCCCTCACCCCACACACACACACACTCCCTTCCCTACCAACTCTCTATCCCCCCCCTCCACACCTGAGCGGAAGTCACCTGGTGTTAATTAGTGTTACCTGTAATGATCCCAAGTTATTACTGGTGAGTTGAGAATTGATGTTGTGTGGGGGGCCTCCAGGTGTGTGTGTGTGTGTGTGTGTGTTTGAGAATATGTATTAATTTGTGTGTATGTATTTTTTTGGTATAATTAGGTATGTATTCAGATTCTGGGTGTATTTATATCTATGTGTCTATGTATTATGTGTTAATGTGTATTCATAGATGTGTATTTGTTTATGTTTGTGAGTTCTGTTGATTGTTCTCCTTGAAAGGTGTGTCTCCAGAGTATGTCCCTGTCTCTCGCACTCACCACTCACGCACTCTCTCTCTCTCTCTCCTTTCCGCAGATGCATGGTTACGGGGCAGAGATGTGCGCCGCAGCCGAGCTTCTGGGGTCGCAGCCGCAGTCTCAGTCGCAGATGCACCAGCAACAGCAGCCACATCAGCCACAACACCCACACGGGGACTCCAAGTACGACACTGGACCCTTCGACGACTCGGTCCACAGCGATTCCTACGTGTCGTACCTTGAATCTGACGACTCCATGACGGCCCCGTTAAGCACGACCACCAGCCCCTGATGGTTGAGTTCCAGGGTAGTCGTCACAGTGTAATCGAGTCGTCGAGGGTTTAGTGTCATCGTCGTCAGTGTCGTCGTCGTCGTGGGAAGTCGTCATCATCATCGTCATCCATCTTCATCCAACACGAACGACCACATCGACCACCACTACTACTACAATGTCGTGGTCTTCTTATATGGCTCAGAGTTGGTGCTGGTATAGCTGATGGTGGTAGTGGTGGTGGTGATGGTGGTAGTGGTGGTAACGGTGGTAGTGGTGGTGACGGTGGTAATGGTGGTAGTGGTTTTGGTGGTGACAGCGGCGGCGTTCGACAGTTTGGGTTTTTTTTACAAAAGAAACAAACTAATTAATTACGAAATATTAATGAACCTTGGACCCAGTGGTAAATAAAAGAGTCTCCTCCTCACCCGGTTAATGCCAAGAAGAAACAACACGTCGGACATCAACACTTACAAAAAGTCCCGTTAAAGGAGAGCCGGACTTTCACAGATCCCGTTATAGAGATCTGGTCTTTGACACGTCCGGTTATGGAGGTATACTGTGTAGGAGTGTTCGGATAGTCGTTCGAAAAGAAAAGGACTTTTCTCCCTGGCCCGTCTGTGGAGATCCGAACAGGTGTATGAAAATCGAACTCCTCCTCCTCCTTCTCCTCCTACTAAGTGTCCGAACTGTGGAAAATCTGGACATCGAGAGTGTCCAACTGTGGAGACGATAATGGACACTCGTATAGGCTAAATGTTTATAAATAATAATAAAAAAAAACTTTACTGAAGCACAAAAGCACAACTCAAGAGACACAGTGTTGACAAACTTTCCAGATACACAAAAAAACAAACAAAAAAAGTAAAAAAAAAATAAAATAAACAGATATTAAACGATCACTCATCATCATCATCTCAAAATGTCTTTAAGAAAATATAATTAAAAAAAACTACATATAAAAACTGCATAATTTTTTTTTCTGTGTTACAAAAACAAAAACAATTATGGTGTCCGATTTTTTTTTTTATCGACTTATAAACTTTATCCTTGGACATGATAAACAATAGATCATTTTTATTTATTTCACCAATTGGCCATCACCCCCCCCCCCACCACCCTAATTTCTACAAACTTACCTGCATGATGTTCAGGTGTGTTTGAGGAGGGGGAGGTGTGTGTATGGGGTCAAGGTCAAAGGTCAAATAAGGACTGCCGATCTTCACTCACTCGATGTAGGAATGTTAATAATAATAAATAATAATTAATAATATAAAAAAAATAGTTCCATGTATGATATTAAAAAAAAAGATAACAGCCCCCCCCTCCTTCCTCCTTTTTTATTTTTTTGGTGTGTTCATTAATGTATATTTCAACCGTGTGTGTCTGTCTGTCTGTTAGCTGCTACCTGGTCTTAAACCCTTTCACCTGGGGGCATTATTCTCTCTCTCTTTCTTTTTTTCTCTTTCTATCTCACACACACACACACACACTCTCTCTCTCTCACTACCATTATTGTTTTCCCAGATAAATCCTCTCAAATCCAGCCCACATATTTCTACCTAATCTCTCTCTCTCTCTCTCTCTCTCTCTCTCTTGTACATAAAACCCACATCGATAGATACAACAAAAGAATCTGTCTACCAATGTGATTTTTATTCCCCTAAAAGTCCTTCTGAATCGAACCCAAATTGATTTTCTACTGTTATTTCAAGTCACAAACTACGCGGAATTATATTTACGGTTTGTGATGTGTCTGTAGGTCTGTCTGTCTGTCTGTCTGTCAGTCGAGTGATGATCCAACCAGAGCTTCTTGAACAGATTATTATTATTATTATTATCATTATTTTTTTTTTTTTTTGAGCTTAGCTTTAATTGTTCTGCGTCGGTTGTGAGTGTTGTCTCTATATGCTTTTTATCTATCCACTTTCTTCTTCTTCTATTCTTCTATCCTCTTCTTTTTTCTGTTTTCTCCCATTATTACATATTTTTTTTCTTTTTCTCTCTTCTTCTCGTTTTCTGTTCTCCTGTCAATCTATTTTCTATCTTTACCCTCTTCTCGTTTTCTCTTTTCTTTACTCCATTTTCTATCTTTCCCTTCTTCTCGTTTTCTCTTCTCCTTCTCTCCATTTTCTCTTCCTCTATTCTCATTTCCTCTAATATTCCTCATATCCGTTTTCTATGGTTCATAATCCTTCCCCTTCCGTCTTACTTTTGTTCCCTCTTCCATATCTTCCTCTATCTTTATCTCTATTCCTCCTCTTTTCTTCTTCCTCCTCCACCTCTTCTTACTACTCCTTCTTCTCTTCCTTCTTCTTCTGTCGTCATCTCTACTATCCCCTCCTTCCTCCCCCTCCTCCTCCTACTTTTATTCTTCCTCCTCTCCTCCATCTTCTTCCCCTTCTTTCTCTTCCTCCTCCACCTCCGAGCTCCTGTGTTCAATACGACGAGTGTTCAGTAGTGTACGTGTGTGAAAGCGAACTACCAATAAACTGTTTTCTCTCTATTGTGGAATATTTTTATTAATCCCAAATAAAAACATCTTTAATATACCTTCAGGTGAATTATTTTATCAATGCAGCTTTATAATACTTACGGTATTTACCTTAGTGTTAGAATTTTGTCACTTTCACTTTGTGCTGAGGTAAGTTTTAAATACTTTCGAAATATTTTTTTTGGGTATAGATAAATAATAAAATAGTAAAAAATAAATGAAAATGACAGACTAGAGAGAGAAAATAATAATAATAATGATAAACCCAATAATAATAATAATAATAACACCAATAACGAACAATAATAACAATAAAAACAACAACAATAACAAAAGAAAACAACAACAATAAAACGAGTCTCCTTCCATCTGTGACAATAGACTAGAGGTGAATGAAGAACCAAGACTCTACACAGCACACCTTGACAACATCCAACACCTCAAGCATTTACCTAACATACACACACACACACGTCCAAGGCAACGATGCTCGAGGGGAGAGGGGATGGGAGGGGTAAGGAGAGGGGATAGGAGGGGTAGGGAGAGGGGATAGGAGGTGGTGGGGGGGTATTTACCTATCTTAATTACAAAACAAATAAAAAGGTTTACCTATTTATGCCGTAAAAAATTTAATGGTTTCTTTACAGCGTTAAGACTGGGGTGCTTATTATTATTCGTGTTTTTCTCTCCTTTTGATAGATGTCAGTTTAATCTAATGTATATAAAACAATTGAGTGGAAAATAGTGGATAATTTGAAGTGAATGAGTGTGTGTGTTTAAGTCTGTGTGTGTGTGTGTGTGTTTAAGTGTGCGTGTGTGTATTTAAGTGTGTGTGTGTGTGTGTCATCAATGAGATATAAACAGTAAAAATAATCTGACTTTGGAATGAGTTGATTAGCTCTTAGTCTTCCTTCCTTCCTTCTTTCAATTAGCTCACTGTCTATAACTGAGTCATCCGCTGTAATTTTATCCCTTGGCGTAATGCTGTCACTTCCTTCATTAATCCATCTATAATTAAAGATGATGAGAGATATAATGTGTATCAAGAGATTATTGAGGATTTAACGTCATTTAAATCCGTTTGACGTGAGAGATACAATGAGATGAGATACATTCCCTATAAGTTACACTGAGATGAGAGACATTCCCTATAAGTTACACTGAGATGAGAGACATTCCCTATAAGTTACACTGAGATGAGACACATTCCCTATAAGTTACACTGAGATGAGACACACTCCCTATAAGTTACACTGAGATGAGACACATTCCCTATAAGTTACACTGAGATGAGACACATTCCCTATAAGTTACACTGAGATGAGACACATTCCCTATAAGTTACACTGAGATGAGACACGTTCCCTATAAGTTACACTGAGATGAGACACATTCCCTATAAATTACACTGAGATGAGACACATTCCCTATAAGTACCACTGAGATGAGAGACATTCCCTATAAGTTACACTGAGATGAGACACATTCCACTTATTATTGTGTCACCATGATCAGTGCAGCACACACACACACACACATACACACACACACACACACACACACACACACACACAGATTCACAAAGAGTCTCCCAGGTAAGGAAGGCTCAACAGGTGACACCAAACTCTCCCTTCACACACACACACAGCAACACTCCCTACCTGTGTTTGTCATCAGATCATCTTAAACAACACAGTGTTCTTCAGTATACACAACCAGATGATTATTTAACACATTAATACTCGATGAATGAAAAATAAAAACAATTATATATATTTTCATAGGAAATAGTTTTAAAATTGAGTAAAAAATTATAAAATTAAGAATATATAAAAAAATATGAAGACCAGAAGTTAACATAATAAACAAAAAACTAGTAAATTAAATAAACTAATTAATTACTTACGTGAAAGAAAGGTAAAGGTTAAAAGAAAAAAATATATTGAGAATTAAAAAAAAAGAATTATTTATTGTTCTTTATTTATTTATCTTCACTACTTAGGTAATTTTTTTCAGAAGATAATTAAAAAAAAAGAGTTAGGTTAAAGACTTTTGTGTTATTGGATGATGGATGTTAGTTACTTGGTGGGGAAGGTCACGGTAGGTTAAGGTAGGTCAGCCTGTAGTGAGTAAATCATGAGCCGTCGTTTACTGTTATTACATGGCCAGAGTCGACCTGTAGGTTAGGTTAGGTTAGGTCAAGTTAGAAATAATTCCCTTTTTTCATATGTGCATGTGCAACAGTAACATTAAATAAATAAATATATATATATATATATATATATATATATATATATATATATATATATATATATATATATATATATATATATATATATATATATAATTCCGGTATTTTTCGTCATAAAACACATTAGGATCTACTCTACTTAGTATAATAGACTTAAGGCTTTACAATAACACCGAATCACAGCAAATATTATGTTAACATTATTTTAACCTCCATAATAGACGCCACTCAACATTATTAACTCCATCATCAGGTTAATTAATAAGTAGTTTTATATACATATATAATTTCGGGTGGAAAAAAATATACTTCTGACGTATCACCCAAATTAATCTACCATTAAGGTAATTGGTTTCATATTTTTTCCACATTTGTTTTTTTTGTGAGGGGTACAGTTAAACTCGGATTATATACATTAGGGTATATAGGTATGTTAATTATTATGTATTAGGTAATTAAGACTCAATATAGCCTTATTAACTGCCTAAATTAACAGAGTATTTTATAATATATCCATAAAGTCCCTCCTATAAGACTCATTAACTATCCAATTATACTATTTTATATATAATGCCCAGGAATTAACTGCTATAAGACCACCACACTGGGGCATATAATGTGATATAAAATGACTAGCCCCTATAAGAACGATATAGAGGTAGGCTGTTTTATAGGCCTAAGCGAGAGAGAGAGTGGACTTATAGACAGACAGACAAGGAAAATGTAAATAAGATAACAAGAAAAATTACAATAACAAACAGCAAAAACAACAAGAATATAGAAAAATAATAATAATAATAATAATAATAATAATAATAATAAAAAGAAGAAAATTAAGAAGAACAAGAAGGAAAAGAATAAGAATAAGAAGAACAAGAAACGAACAAGAGGAAGAAGAATAACGTTAAATGAAAAGGGAAAACAAAAGACAATTACAATAGAAGGAGGAGGAGGAGGAGGAGGAGAAGAGAGAGAGGGAAGGAGGAGAGTAAGAAGAGGGAGAAGGATAACAGAGGGAATTAAGACACAGGAGTGAAGGAGCATAACAAAGGGAAGGAGGAAGGTCAGAGAGAGACAATGAAGAGGAACAGATGGAAGGGAAATACAAAGGGAGGAATAGGGTAGATTAAGGAGAGGAGGGAGGTAGGAAGAATGGAGGAGGGGAAGGAGAGATAACTTCTCTTTCTC